CAGACAACGGAATTGTAAGCCGCTGAAAGGAATTCATATCCTGTTCGACGAAATGTCTAGATGTCTTATGAAATACTGGCAGCACGTGGAATCCAACCTTGTTACTGCTTTAATCGCAGTATTGCCTGCGTTCAATCAGAAATATTCCCAGAAGTCAAAGTCCCCACCTCCTACTAGAGACATCTTAGGTTTATGACCTCCATTTAAACTCGAGCATTAGGGTTTTATCGGCGCGAAATGTTGCATACAACTGTTAAGTGGTTCGTAGAGAAGGCTCGAGGGCTTGAAGTTCTGGAATCTGAAGTTGAAGTCTCGCATACTACTTGCACTTATATGATGGGCTTAATCATAACACTACGAAAGTTTGATCAAGTCGTTAATTTGAGGTGTCATTATAGGTTTTATTATATACCCAGCTAATGTAAAAAGGGGTTAAAAGTCAAAAAGGATTGCACTATGATCATTTCAAGACATAATAGGTGTGAAGCAAGGTAGGGTGATAAAACGGCAACAAACGGAAATTCAATATGGAAATGTTCATAATACCGGAAATAAAAGTTTCGCTTACTGTAATTCCTCTTCCTTATCTCGTTTAGATACCTTGTTTGGAACCTCTTCGCCATTGGAGGAGGGGTTCAGCTCGGAGGAGACGGACGTCGGTTAGCTTGCGTGAGCTGAAAGATGGCGAGGTATTATAAGGCCTCATGCCACCTAGGTGAAGCTTTCTGGCATCACAATGCTCCTCATGAACAAGTGCACGTAGTGTACAATATAGGAGACGACATCGAACATGTCATCCGCACCGGCTTATACACCAATATGCGCGACGTGCAATGGCGGCAAGGTCGGGCATGCGCATACCACCCACCCAACGCCTGCCGATTTGCAAGCTAATATCCCACGATGCTTGCTCTGTGCAGCGATCTGGCATGGAATCAAGCTGTTCCCCGGTGGCGAAGAATTCCTAGCGGATCCGCGACCGATTCATATACGTTTGGGTCTCTGGGCAAACGAAATGTTTCGCGTGCGCTACGGACGATCGACCACGTCATGGCACCTCGACCCATCGTTTACCTTGATCAAAAAAGAAGGGCCAGTCGCGAGCAGTGATTTGGGGCTCAAAGCGATTCCGCAGATGCCAGTCATTGATCCCCAGCCGCTTGCACCACCGACATTGTCCGCGGTCATAAAGCAGATACGAGATTGCAAGCTTCGTCATCGGCACAGCCGGCTGCAAAAGAAGTATGTTCCTGATCGTCTTGTGGACCTTGGGTCTAGCAGCAATCAACTCGACGCCGCACTGCTGTGCGATACGTCGAAGCTTAAAGCGCCATATATCGCGTTGTCGCATTGCTGGGGGGGCACGATTCCCTACCGCACACTGCAGTCAAACAAGGAAGAACTATGCCGATGTATAGACTACTTCGAGCTTCCCGAGAACTTCCAGGATGCGTTCACCGTCGCAAGGCGGCTGTCGTACCGATATATCTGGATCGATTCCTTCTGCATTGTCCAAGATGACAAGCAGGACTGGATGCAACAGGCCGCTAAAATGGCTGACGTATACTCCGGAGCAGAGCTAACCATTTCCGCAGCACGATCATCCTCTTTCGACGAAGGGTTCTTATCACACCGAGACACTGACATCGAACTTGCATTTTCGCACCGTCTCCCTCCAGGCACTAAGTTGTATGTGCGCGATGGCGAGGCGCTCGAAAGAGTGCATCAAGGGATCAATAGACAACCATCCGCCCATGCACCGCTCTTCCAGCGAGCATGGGCATTTCAAGAGCGCCTGCTCTCGCAGCGCATCGTTCATTTTCTAAAGACGGAGATAATTTTCGAGTGCGAAGAATCTCTCTGGTGCGAGTGCGGTGAGAAGGATTCCTACGAAGACTCAAAGTATGACAAGGAAGTCTACCGCAACTCCACATGGCAAGAACTAGTTGAACAGTATGTATCGCGGAGTTTGACGTATCCGACGGATATGCTCCCAGCCATATCAGCGATAGCACGGGATCACGGCATGCAGGGAGGGTACATTGCGGGCGTGACAGAGGAGAAACTTTTCACGAACCTGCTCTGGCAAGTCAAGGCCCCGAGGGATCTGGATGGTGAGCTCACCACGGTACCGCCGCCTAGACGACCCAGTGTATATGTCGCGCCAACATTCTCATGGGCGTCTATTATCGCGCGGGTGGAATGGTTGAATGTACTGTCGAACTATCAGCCCGTCTGCTCGCTCGAGAACTTCGCCACGACGTTGGAAAACCCACGCGATCCGTTTGGGCGTGTTTTAGACGGCCATATCACGCTTCGCGGGCCGGTAATGGAAGTGAAGCTCAGGTACACGCCAAGTATGTTCAAGGGTCAACTGAAAGGCCGCTTTCACCCTATCGGGAAACCAGAGGAACCGAAAAGGGATGTCTGGGCGGTGCTTGATACCCTCGATAACCCCCCGGTAGGCACAGTATTGAAACTTATCACTGTTTGTGAAGAGACAAATTGGTATTTCAGAAATAACGGCCTGGTGCTTAAGCCTTCGTCAAGGAAACAAGGGTATGAGCGGATTGGGGCCTATTGGGATGCTAGTAAGGGGTTCTTTAAAGATGCGCCGACTCAATCAGTCACGATAGTCTGATTATCGACTCTTTATTTCAATGTTGAGCTAGTAAAAGATTTCGTGCTTAGAATAGGTACAATATATTGAACCGAGCTTTGGAGCAGGTGCACATGAGTTGATCCAAAGTCCTTCTCTACCCCCTCTTGATAGGTGGCGTTGTCTGGTAAGATAGTTGTAAATGGACAAGTGTCTCCGATCGGAATTGACGTCGGAGCACTTTGCGTGGTCCCGGCCAGGAGGGCAGGGATTGCCAGTAGCTTCAATAGGGACTTGGCCATCGTCGTTGATGTCTTTTCGTTGGCGAGGAAGAATAGAAGAAGGAGGCGTTATCGAGCACTCACAGAGCAAGGGAAACACATCGTTCTTTAAATATTCCGTCGAGTGCGGCCACTCTTCAGCGTTCACGAGAGTGTCAAGATGGCATGGCGACGCCAAGAACAAGGTGGTTTAAAGGTATGGGGTTCATCTTCGTTGCCAGGGTCCGATTTAATTAGCGAGAGATCCGATGTAACGTGGATATAACGGTGTTGCACAGTTTCAGCAGCATAACATCAATTATACGCCTTGGCATTAGTTTAATAACATAGGTACTTATTGTGTCGGACCGCTGCACTACTCCATCATGAAAATGATCAACGGTTAGTACGAAAGCCCCCGGGACTGAAAGCTCTGGCATCCGAAATCAGAGTCTCCATACTGTAGTTCGCCCTATAGTTGGAGCAATGGAACCGAAACAAACGGTTACATTCAGTTTAAAGCACAGTAATTCCGGGGTTGAGTATAGTTACGGTCGCATTGCTCGATTTCATACGGAGATAAGCTGCCGAATCATCGATCGGATCAGCAATTCGCGAAATTGTAGCGCGGCATCGTCAAGGCCTATGACCATGTCTCGAAAAGAAAATCACCTAAACATCTAAGGGGGGGAAATCGCTGGGCCGCTGGACTTAACTACAATCAGCTTATTAGTCTGACGCGAAACACGATGGTGATAGATCTCGATCCAATGCCACGCACGACGTGGAAATAATATGACTATGAGGCTAGAAGAAGCCATTAGACTTAGTAGCTTTCTTATAACTTTATCAAGTACTTAGGCAAGTATCTTTCCTCTTTTTTTTCGATACTATTCCAAGGTTTTGTTAGAGTTGTACCTTATGTACATGTCTGCCCGGTGTAACCTAAATTGATTCTACATGCTTGATGACGTGGATAGATGTTGCGTAGGCTGAACTTTCAACCAAGCCGTAATTGATTATTATGGCTACCCGACCATCTTTATACTGTAATATGCATATTATCTAACACAGCATTGCTTCGCTCTCTTTTTATATTAGAGTTTAGATGAGATCCTGGTATTGGCTTTATATAGCTGAATACAGCTTGTAGTTATTGTTGGTGGACTGCGAGCGATGAATTACCTTAGATGGTCAAGTGGTAATACACTTACATCCGGGGCGCCGCGATTTTTTCTCGTTCATTTTTCTTTTCCTTTCTTCGGTTCGGTTTACGGTATAGAATCAATTAATATTGTTACTTGGTTTATATATGTAGAATATGTATATTATTTAACACAACATTGCTTCAAAGCTCTCCCTCTTTTTATTAAAGTTTAGACCGGATCTTTGTAGTAGCCTTATATAGGTGGATAGAGGTGGTGCACCTTGTCGGTAAACTGCGAGCGATGAACTACCCCTAGATGGTCAAGTGGTAATACACTTGCATCCGGGGCGCTGCAATTTTTTTTTTTTTTTTTTTTTTGACACGAATGCTATCTGGAGTCACGTAATTATTACGATCGCCTAGCTTTACATTTATATGTATCCATATACTTATTTATTTAGTTTTCTTTCTATTGTTCAATCCGACTGCCACAAATTTCTAGCGCGACATAATATACCTGCCTCCTGAGATGTTCTATGCTGTACACTGCTAAGCGACCAACTCTTCATCCACCAGGTGGCTGTACTAGGAGCCTTGCCCCCGGGCCCACCGCATTTCGCGACCATTCCTCGGGGCTTAAGCCTTCGAAATGAAGCTAAAGTTCTAACGTGTAGAATTACCGATTCACCCCTTGTGAACTCGCAACGGGCTTCAGGCAACAACCTCATAACCCTAAGCTATCAAAATCATCAGCGTGTCTGGAGTTCTATTTCGTCTTAAAATTCCGAAACCGCATCCCATTGCACCCCACGCTACCCAGGCGTAACGCATACTCCGGCGGCCAAACGAAGGCCCCGTGCCCGAACAACACGCAGCAAGAACCGCCAACACCTCCTTCCCAACAACAACCAGCTCGGCTATACCTCGCTACCGCTAGCCTGAAACATGAGCAATATGTATGAAATCATCAGCTACAGTGCTCGAAGTTAAACGGCCCTCGGTGGTCTAGGGGCTAAGATTCATCGTTCGCAGTCCACCAACTGCATCCGATAAGGTCGGGGGTTCGAGTCCCTCCCAGATGGGGGTGCGTCGCTTCCTCCTGGGCTCACTCGGGAGTCATCCTGATCTTCGATTGGGGCCAGATGTAGTAGCTGCCAGAGGGGCGGTTTGCGAACTGTTTTTTTTCTCCTTCTCGTTCTTTTGATTGGCTTCGCGTCCATTCTATTCCCTGCTTACCAGGTCACCAATACTCTTCAGTGTTTAATAAATATGTTTTAGCTGTAGGCTGCATCAAAAAGATCATGTATTTAATTGTCATTTGGTTGCACATAAACAAAAAACGCGACAACCTGGATGTAAGCACATTACCTCTTGACTCTCAGGAGTAATTTCTCGCGCAACTCACACCAAAGTGTGCGACCTTTATACTATAGCTACCTGTATAAGATATGCACGTCCTTGATTCCCAAACTTACGCACGTTTCTATTTGGCGCCGTACCCCACTTCATTAAGGCATTGGACTAGATGGGTAAACATGTCCTGTCCCTCGCTCGTTATCACAAGACATACGACAGGCTTATAATTTTACATTATCAAATATGCCATGGTATCTGCAGGATGCTTTGGAGATAAGGGGTTCGATTCCAGAACTAAGCACTACTGCAACCCATTTCAGAATTATGTTGGGGTTGGTAGGAAGGGTTTTTCCCTAGTGACCTGCGAATACCGGCACCGCATTCAACGGAAACGCGCGTCTGTGCAGCTTTTGGCCGTTGTGTGTTGTGGTCGGTATTTTCATTGCTGTGGCCGTGAGGCTACGTAAGCAACTGCGGGCATGTTGACCAGCAAAAGTAACATGCATTAATTATATTGCATATAAACTTTCATAATCATCTAAACTAGGTTCACCCACAAGCCCTAACCTGGCTAGGCAAAAGAGCGTCTTCATGAAACCCGATCCCCAGCGAACTCAAAAAGGAGGAAAGGGGGAAACGTATAACAGACCGTGTCTTTGCTACTGAATGGGGCGCAAGTCTCCAACCATCAAGATCCGAGAAACATAGCATCCAATATGCGTGCTTTCAATCTGCAGACATACATCAAACGTCCAAGAGGGGAAAAGATCGCTTCACTGTACGTTAGATCTGCTATAACGGGCAGGGCTTCACCTTGGCTACACATCTTGTCGTCAAGCGACAGCTAATGATTTTGCAGACCAATATGTTTACACTGATTGCACTGAACCGGGATCCGTGGCACGATGTAGTGGAAAACGCGACCAGACCACTGCATGTTCGTATCATTGAAGCAACCACCTGTTTCCTGCTCGCTGAGATGACGGTATTAGCTTCGACCAACTCACGACGAATAGCTCCCGAGCTGTTTCCCGGCAGTGCGAGTATCTTTCTCGTGGCTGTAGCTATATTTGCGGCGAGACTTTTCTCCTTTTTCACAGTTCTTGGGTTCAGCACTCTGTTGGAACCTTACTCTCAATATGCTCAGGATATATTACAAACTTTGGAAGATACCAGGCATAGAACATGCCGCATCTCGCGCAGCGCTTGGGAAGATTTTCGATACGGGTTGTTAAGGCCTTTGTGGATCGCTTGGTGTATCATTTGGTACCTGTCTGATATGGTGGAGGAGGAATCAAGTGGCTAAATGGGCTCTGGTGTCGCGCCGCTAAGCTGGTGCCGAATGCTGCCGGCTTCCCGGTGAGACGTACAGTTCGAAGTTGGTGACTATTTGTCGGCCAGGATCAACAGACCCGTGAAGAGCCTGCGATAGGAAGCAGCCGGAGAGGGGTAGTCTAGAGATACGGACCCAAATGCATGTCTATGAATAAGGGGCAAGGGCGATGTTATACAGAAATATGGATCAGGGGGCCAAGGACCCTTTAGAGCCCCCCAAAACTCCCAGCCGGATAGGGATACTGTTCCAGGCTCTTCATGGCGAGCATAATTTCTAGTATCCGGCCTTCTCGTCCTAGTTAGGCTGGGGAGAATAGTCAATCAGATTGGACGGAATTGAACCTATCTCGCCTTCAATATTTAGATCTGGTTTATACCAATTAGGCTTGTTATTGACGAGATGACATGTAATCGCTCTGCTTATTCCATATCACGTCCGTTTTGGATGGGCCTAGCTACATTGAAGAATCTTCATCTGTGCCATTACACTTTCTCTGGTGTTGCTATTCTTTCAGTCTCTAGACTTTGATGCCTTCCCCCTTACCCCTATCTCGCCCGTTACAAAATATTCCACTGTACACAGCCTCCTCCCAAACTGATGACATCATGGCGTAGATACCTCGGCATATTAGAAGATGAAAACAACAATCATAAGTTGGGGTACGTAATGATGTGGCGAGGAGGTTAAGCGTCCAGTGCCATCAACACTGATCAACATTAGGTAGAATAGAAATCTTTATGTATAATATCGGTTACGCACTCACGTAGCATGGGTTAGTTCACAAATATACTGCAAATTCTTTTAACTCATTGTACTCGTGATATCATTAGAAACGCGACCCGAGTCCCATAAGGAATCTAGCAAATTCCATGCAAAGAGGATGCAAGATTCCAGATTGACACTATCCCTTCTTTCATGCATCAGCCTTGATCAGATCCGCAGCCTAGGAGTACAATGGATTAGTATCGAATATCAAAAACACATCATACCACCGACTCACCTTCTCCGCAATAGCATACGTGGTTTGGCATGTGTTAGCACCAACAAGAACAGGCATGATGCTCGCGTCGACAACACGCAGGTTGCCAACACCGTAAACCTTCAGGCGCTCATCGACGACGCCGCCGAGCTCGCGAGGCATCATGGCGCAGGTGCCGACGGGGTGGAAATACGACGGGTTGACGTTCTGGCGCAGGAAGCCCTTGAGGTCCTCGGGCTCACTGACGTAGTCGGGCGGCTGAACCTGGCGTGGCGCTAGCTCCCGCAGCCGCGTCTCGAAGTAGTACCGTTTCGTGAACCGCAGGATCTCCACCATGATGTCGAGGTCCACCGGGTTCGTTAGCGCCCGGTAGTCCACTACTGGCTCGCTCGCGAACGGGTTGGTCACGTCGATGTTCACTGTCCCCCGGCTCAGGGGGTGAAGGTCTACGATTGTGCCTGATGATGCGCCGCCGGTCAATACGTGGTTATAGAATGCAGTGTTGGGCGAACGGATGGCTGCTGCCATGTTCTTCATTTGCGCCGTGTATCCTATGATTCCTCGTTAGCACGAGACACGAGGTCGGGAATGGAAGGAATGGGTTTCCTGTGAGGCCGACAGTGCATAAGTTGACTGGGAGTTCATTATAATGAATTCATTTACCTGCAACAACGGTTGGGTCTGTGCCATTGGGTAGTAATGTGGCGTGATCTAGGTTCTCCAGTCTAGAGGCGATTTCCTTGAACGTATCAGGCGCAATGACTGGCATACCAAGCCACGCGGCGGCATTGCCGACACCTAAAGAATAGGGGCCTAGAAACTCAATCAGGCATCATATTAAGAGATCTGCGTTACCGCTAGGGATAATTAAAATACCTGTCTTGTTGGCTCTCCAGAGCTCCTGAGCCCAAGCAGAAAAGCTCTGGTTCGAATACATGTCTACAGGGTTCGGGTGAACAGTGAAGTTTTGAACTAACGATACCCTTATAAGCATATTACTTCGCTGCTGCTTTCCGCAGAGAGGATCGGACTTACGAATAACGTTGGTAAATACCATGGGGTGGTCCTGGAAATTTTGCCCGACACCCGGGAGATCGACAACGGTTTCTATACCCGCGGATTTCAAAAGCGCGCCTGGTCCAATGCCGCTTTGCTGAAGCAGCTGTGGTGAGTGAATTGCGCCAGCAGCTATAATGACTTCCTTTCTTGCCTTGACTTCAACGACAACCGTGCTGTTCTGGGCCTTCTGCTCGAATGAGACGCCAGTAGCCACTCCATCATCAAGTAATATCTTGGTGACTTTCGAGTCGGTGATTACTTCGAAGTTGGTCCTATTGATGGGGTCAAAGTGCCCCGTTCTGGCGTAGGATCTCTCTACTTTTTCGGGGTCCATGAAAGTTGGGAACCAATACACACCAGCTTTCCCCGAGCCGCTGTCTGGAGGGAATTCGACCCCTGGAATGTCTCTGAATGCCTCAAACTGTGCCTCTTCAATTAAAATGAGAAACACGTCCCAAATTAGTGGTTTTTAGTACGAACCTAATGCAGGCCATTGGAACCGTGGCCATGAGGTGTGGACACTCGAGCTATTGCCCCAGTACGATGTGTCCCAGGTGATGTTGACAGACTTAGCAACATTATCATCCGGCGGCGAGAAATTGACGGCCTTTTATGTTTAGAATAACGTCATCTACAACCATTTCGGGGGCGACACACTTTCTTGAAATATGGCAGTAACCCCTCCCACGACCAAGACGAATCCTTGCCAAAGAAGCTTCCCCACCGGTCGTAATCGTCAGATGTCCCTCGAATGGTCATCATGGCATTTATCGCGGAGCTTCCACCCACTAGTTTCCCGACAACGACGCTGGTTGATCTGTTGTTTAGGTTTGGCTGACGGACTGAATTGATCTGGTACGACCATGTTGGTCCCATTGCTGCAACTCCAGAGTAGACCTGGCTGATTCTTGGAGAGTCGACTGGTAATGCATATTAGTAAATCATTCCGATAGATATGGATACCAATATCACGTACCAATCTTGCCATTCTCGATGACAAGAACCGTTGCTAGTTTCAAAGTTTTTTAGAAACAGATCTCTCTTCCTAGTTTATGAGAGCTCTCACATTTCCCATCTGACGAGAGTCGGTCAGCCACCGTCAGACCGGAAGTCCCCGCCCCAACAATTACATAGTCGTAAGAAGATTGTAGAATTGATCTCCTATGCTGTGATCGAATGTGTTGGCTACCCTGCGGGATAGGGAATGTTGCATCTACTAACCCCGAGAGCGACGTCGCCCAAAGGGCCAGGCCGAAGAGTAACTCCCGCAACATTTCGATAAATTGACGGTGCCTAGAAGGAGTGTTCGCAGACGCGCGGGCATCTCGCGTTTAATAGGGCTACCCTGAACGC